GCTTTCATTTTCCACCGCTCAGGCTGCCAGAGTCTGGAGCTGGCCGCGTGCGCCCCAGCCAGGCAGAGGCGAGGGCAGAGAGCAGCAGCCAGGAAAGGGACTCCGAGAGAGGGGATCAGGAGGAAAAGAAACAATCAACTAAGCAAGAAAGAAATGTTTGTCCAAGGTTTTGTTTCTGGGTAATAAGAGGAGTAACCTACCTTCATCCAGCGGGTGGAAGGAGTCGAGGAGGGGAGGCACAAAGAGAGGAGCGGAAGGAGCAATAAGGGAGAAGTAAGAGGACCAAGAGAGGTACTGAGAGCACACACGAGAGGAAAGAGGAATCAATGAGGGGGGAGGAGAGCGGAGGCTGGGTAAGGCGACACTGACACACACATCCACACGCTGAAGCTGGACGCAACAGCAGAATGAGAGCTTCCTGGACTGCCACGCACCTCCTCTACCGCCAACAGCGCTGCTCCCTCATCACCCTGTGAAGAGACGGTCGAGGGAGGGAGGGAGAGAGAGAGAGAGAGAGCGCGAGAGCTCCCATGCACTCCTCTTGAGCCCTGCCCGCTGGGGGAGGAGGAGACCCAACCGCTCCGGCGCTCTCGCCCGAGGAGAAGAGCTGACCGGGAAGTAGGAGGGGAGGAAAAACGAGGAGCGAGGGAGGGGTGGGGGGGACGCCAAAGATCTAGGAAGAGTGGGAGAAGTCGCCTGTAGGAAGAAGGAAGAGTGTTTGTGAGAGAAAGAGGGAGTGAGCGACAGAAAGAGGAGAAAAAGGAAGACGGTGAAAGGGCAAGGCTTTTGTTAGCCGGCTGGAGAGGGGGAGTAAAGAGGAAGGAGAAAAACACACCATGTCTACAGTGAAGAGGCCAAGAGGAAGGGTAAGTGAGCCACTCTGGGAGGGAGGAGGGATGAGGGGGGAGGAGGTGGGGAGGGGAGGGGCCGGCAGGAACTGAACAACCTCCTCTGCTACTGGCTCATGCTGCACCGCCGCCATCTTGAACTCATTGCTGCTCATACTCATTTTCTCTGCCGTGTGAGATGATTGAAGCGCTTTAGATTTATTTTATGTTCTCCCCCATCTTCCGCCTCTTCACGCCATCCGTCACAGTTTCATTCTCCTGCTGATCGCTGCTGTCCTGCTCTGTAGTTTCTGTGTGTGTGTGCGTGTGTGTGTGTGTGTGTGTGTGTGTGTGTGTGTGTGTGTGTGTGTGTGTGTGTGTGTGTGTGTGTGTGCGTGTGTGTGTGTGTGTGTGTGTGTGTGTGTGTGTGTGTGTGTGTGTGTGTGTGTGTGTGTGTGTGTGTGTGTGTGTGTGTGTGTGTGTGTGTGTGTGTGTGTGTGTGTGTGTGTGTGCGCCCTCCACGAGTTGAGCCCGTCCGTCACCAGAGAGCTCGCCACATGTGGAAACGAAGGGTGGGGGCGAGGGAAAGGTGTCCGGCCCAAACAGAGCTAGCTCTACCTTTTCATCAGCTGCGATGGAGCCCGCCGTTTTCCACGAGACGGCGTGCTGCTAGAGAGATAGAAATCACTGCAGTGCTGGCAGGCTGTAATTTCAGTTATTTATAGATGTGTTGCACAGCTGCAGCGCTCCGTTTTGCTGCATTTTAACTCTCCTCTCTCTCCATCTCACCTCTGATAACATTTCATACGTATTTCTCTTTCTTCCTCTTGCTCCATTTCATGTTCCTCTCTTAAAGCTTTACTTTAAGCTCCTCCCTCCTTCCTTCTTTTTTTTTCATTAACTTGAACGACAATCTTCCAGAATGATCCAGTAAATTATTTTCCTACTAGCAGCAAAGCACACGTGAAAATCATAATGCAGCTCTTGTGTGTGTGTGTGTGTGTGTGTGTGTGTGTGTGTGTGTGTGTGTGTGTGTGTGTGTGTGTGTGTGTGTGTGTGCGTGCGTGCGTGCGTGCGTGCGTGCGTGCGTGCGTGCGTGCGCGCACCCTTTTCCCTCTACTTTCCTTTACATGAATTGGTGCCTATTCTCCACCACCCCCCTCCCCAAACACACAGACTTTGTCGGGAGGATTCAAGCTTCCCTTTTTACGTCTTTTATAGACTTGTGGAAAAATCATCCATGACTGGATCATGTAGGGATATGCGACTCCTTTTGAGGTTGTGTTATCCATTTTTGGGCTGAAGGCCCACAACAAGGCGCTCGTGTGAACATAACCGCAGTCGCAGCATCTATTATTCACATATTATCATGTATCAGGCTCGATTATTTATGTCTGCGAGGCACGGCGTGACCTGCTGCAACGGGCGAGGCTTTAATTTTCGCTTACTTCAGTTTGTTTAGGACTTTTTGTGTCACATCGTCTGATTTCAGAGTTGTCAGAAGTATTCACGTTCATTACCTACGTAGAAGTTTAGATACTAGTGTTTAAAAAGACTCGAAGCTTTTTACTCGAGTAAAAGTAAACAAGTACTGGTTTCATAACTACTTAAAGTACAAAAGGAAAACGAATGTAGGTAAAATGCCACAGCACTGCCACGCCTCCCTTTAACAAACCGTAAAAACAATGATGATGTGTAAAAATCTTCATGTTTCAGCTGCACGTGGCACGTTGGTAATTGATGCACTCGCTGCCAGCGTTTCTCATCGTTTTTACTGTTTTTTAAGTCACAGAACGTTGCGCGCTAGGATGATGTCGACGCCAAAACAACCAAAACAAAGCGGAGACTCGCCTCTTACTTTGTTTTCCGTAATTTCCGGACTATAGAGCACACCTCAGTATAAGCCGCACCGGGCTAAAAGCCGCAGATATCTACTGAATAGAAAACGTAGTTTAACTGAACGTAACTGAACTGATCAGTATCAAACAAAACAGAAAAGTTATTGATTAGTTTATTCATCGTCCTCCTGCGCTCTGAAACCACTGAAGTCCTCTTCTCCAGTGTCGGAGTTGAACAGCCTCAGAAGAGCTTCGTCACACACCTTTTCTGTGGCGATGTCCGTGTCGCTCTCCATGTTGCCATCATCATCCCGGGTGAAGCTGGGAAAACGAGCAGCGCCGCTTTACTGTGAAAAAATTCCTCCTGGGCGCTTTCCGTAGCGCTCCTTTAACCATTCCTTCATTAGACTTTCCAGCATCCATCCTTTCTGGTTGACTAAAGCCGCACCTCATTATAAGCCGCGTGGTTCAAAGCGTGGGAAAAAGTAGCGGCTTATAATCCGGAAAATACGGTATTTGTTTATTTAAGGATCACCATTAGTCTTCACAATAGTGAAAACTATTCTTCCTGGGGTCCACAATTCTTACATCAGGAAGAATCCGCGTGTTCCGAGCGTCATCCGTTCTTTCATAATCCGTTGTTGAATTGTGATCGGCAGAAGCTTTTCCAGTTCGCGCCTCACTTTTTTTACAGCAGCGGCCCAAAACGATCTCCTAACACATGGATGTTCTGCTTCCTGATCACGTGACGTGTGACGTACACGGATGAAGATCGGCTTCAGAGCTGAGATGTTTGTTCTCACGGTGCGGGGGCTCGTCCGACGCCCACACAGTAAAAACATGCAAATGACGACTTTAGTCATCATTGGCAGTGAACGAGTTAATGCATCTGAGTGCTGTGCAGACGCGTTACAGAACTGAGTGGGCACTACTGTGCTTTGTCATGTGTTAAAGTTGGAGTAAGAGTTGGATGACTAGTTGCCTATAAATATTTCTGATGATAGAAATGTCTTCAATAAACTTTGTGCAAATGTAAATGTATACAGCTGCAAGACTGTGTGAAGACAACAGGTGATAAAACTCCCTTCTACGGTGGCTGTATACGGTATTCATTAGTTCTGTCAAAATGAGTGAGTGAATGTCCTGGCTGGATGGGGATGTAGTGTGTGATGGATCTCGGACTAACCAGTAGGGTGTCCAACCACATTTATCTGGATAGGTTTTTTTGTCTTTGTGTGTTTTTTTTAACAACGACAAGCCTGGGGGACAGAACCCTGTTTTAAAAATATAAGAGGTTGGCTGCTAGATCCTTACTCCCCTAGTGGACCGTCAATACCCACATTTTCTACTGTAGTAAGGTAACAAAGGTATTTGTACTGTAGTAAGGTAACAAGGTATTTGTACTGTAGTAAGGTAACAAGGTATTTGTACTGTAGTAAGGTAACAAGATATTTGTACTGTAGTAAGGTAACAAGGTATTTGTACTGTAGTAAGGTAACAAGGTATTTGTACTTGACTCGACTCCCTTATCTGGTTTTAAAAGTCATGAAACGAAACGCCGTCCTTCCTGACGCTGGATGTCCGGTGGTGTGATGGAGGTTCTGAGTGTTGAGTAATAGGCAGTGAAGCAGGGGGAACCCCCCAACACACACACACACACACACACACACACACACACACACACACACACACACACACACACACACACACACACACACTGCCTTCAGAAGGTTTGCTCTCGCTGAATGAAGCAGGAGATACTCTAGAAACGTTGTTCACACTGAAGAGTTCATAGAGCTTGCTTTCTCACATCGTCTCTTGTGATGACTTATCCTTCAGCGTAATAAAAAAAACATCTTGAGGTTTGATCCATTTATTTGAAAGGAAACTGATTAATTTAACCAGCAGCTAACAGTTCTGTCAGATGTTAGTTGAATCTTTTGCTCATGGCTGCTTTAAAAGATTCATTTAGCTTTTTTTCCTTTTGTTTTTGTTTTTGTCTTCTGATTAAATGGATTTATTCCAGGTTTGGTGATGGAAAACTGTGTGAAAAAAGTGATTGGCTGCATGAGCTTTCATGTGCAGGAATCAAATTAGGCTTCCTAGGACGTTTATATTTGCAGAAACTTCTTTTCCTGCTTGGTTATAATGTAACTGATTTAAATTGTATTTTAATCCCTATTTTTATTTAATCGTGCACTAAAACTTCTACTGAAATAAAAAACGTAACAACAATAAAGTTTTCTCCAAATGAATGAAATAATATAAAGAAAGAAAATGTTCTGTTCATTTTAAAACTCAATTTTTCTTCCTTTTTTTTTTTGACCTTTTTTAGCCTCGAAAGAACGCCAATGGTCCCGGTAGCCAGGTGCGGGTCCCCAGTCCCACGCTGAAGAGCAGCTCTTCATCCTCCTCCTCCTCCTCATCATCCTCATCTTCGTCCAGCTCCTCGTCAGAGAAAAGGGCGCCACGGAGGAAGCAGCATCAGATGGAGCCAAATCTGCAGGAGAAGCAGGAGAAGGCCAACAGGATTATATCGGAGGCTATCGCTAAGGCCCAGCAGCGCGGGGAGAAGAACATCCCACGGGTCATGAGCCCAGAGAGCTTCCCCAGCTCCTCGGCCCAGCACAAGGCCCGTCGCCGTGAGCACAAAGGCAACGGCAAGACCCGGTCCAAGGAGAAGGCCTGCATCGTACCCTCCTCCAAGCCCAAGCAAAAATCCAAGATCGGGTATGTACACGTCTTTGCTTTGCTTTGGACCAATCAGATGCAATGTGTGACCCCCCCCCCCCCCCCCCCCCCCCAACCCCCCTTTACACACACGCACTAAGGCGAGCTTTGATCTCACTCCTTTTAATTCATCACATGCCTGAATCACAGCAGCATTTCATGAGCTCAGACGAGCATGTGACGTTTTCTGCCGGTTGACTTCCTGCCACCGCCGCCGTTTTGTTGCGAAACCACGACAAATATTCCAGCTGCTGCTGAAGCTTTTCCTGTTCATGTAACGTTTGCTCTCTCTCACCTCCCTAACGCCTAAAAACGTTTCGTGTCATCCACGGGAAAGCACGTTGGGCGTTGGAGGAAAGGGCCTAGACGTAGCCCGGCGTTTGACTACCGTCAGGTTTTCATGAGCACACGTTTTCTCCCTGAGGTTGCCAAGATAGAAGCTCAAAGTTCAGCGTTTTACTGCATGCCATAACAATAAACCGACCCAGTCATTAGCATAGACGGGAGGAGGGAACAAAGACTGTAATTTCCATGTGAGAGTGTGCTGCTGCGTACGTTCAGGCGAGAACTCCTGATGCATAGATACCGTAATCTGGCTCCCATCCCCTGCTAACTGCCACATGCAAGTGTGCAGCTACAAGCCACGCCCCACGCAGGCTGTTAAAATATCAGCGTTTGCAGATGTGAATGCAGAGGTGAGGAAACAAAGAAGCAGGCACATGTTTAAATACGGTGATTTTGGTTAGAACAGCTGGATGGTAATTGGTGTTCAGCATAAACGGCTCAGAAAAGGCGTGCGAAGGGAGAGACTGACGGTGGTCAACAGCTCTGTTTGCGGCAGCAATGGCTGACAATCGAATGATCTTGGCAGAGGGAGAGCGCTATAGCGCGTGTCTTATAATGTGGTGTGTGAACGTAGCAGAAAGAGTAAAGAGAAGGAGGTGATGGAGGCGTCCGTCAGGTTTGTGTGGTGGAGTTCAGACGAACTCAGTTGTTCAGAGATCTGATTCTGGTGTTAATCTTCTAGTTTTAGGATGAAAAGCTTCGCCTGGTGAGTGGGCGCACCCTGATTATTATACATCCACCCCTCCCTCACTCCGTCCATGGAGACGTCGCTGCTAAAACTGTCTCAGTTTAATCAAACACGACTAGTTAGTCTTTAAGGGCAACTAAGCGTTTGTCCTCAGTTTGTCATTCGGACGTGTTGTGTAATGATCAGTCAGTCTTAGAGATTCTTGATAAAGTAGTTAAAAATAATATCCCAAATTGCATAAAAGTTTATTTCAAACCAAGAGATGATCATTATAATCTCAGAAGTGTATTTATGTTTGAATGTGTAAAAGCCAGAACTAATGTGAAATCAAGATGTGTTTCCGTTGTTGGTGTGAAATTGTGGAATGAGTTAGATGATGATTTGAAGAAATGTACTTCTTTACTAAAGTTTAAAGCAGGTGTAAAGTGTCACATATTTACAGGGTATGAAAAGTATGTATAGACATTAATGAATTTTCATTGCGGTTATTTATATTGGGGAAAATAAAAGAAATGTATATTGTTATGTACATGTATCTTAGGTGGAAAATAGGGTAGGCTAAAATAAACATTGCTTCTGCCTATTCCTTTTTTGGTTTAAATTCAAGTTGTTAATATTGTTGTTTTGTTTGAAAAGAAAAATTTTATGTTAATGCTATAAACCAAAATAAAGACCGAAAGAAAGAAAGAAAGTTTAACCAAACTTGGCCCACAGGTAGCAATAAGTACAGGATCACCTTTTAATTTCTCACTCAGCCCTTTTAGCGGTCATTACATTGTGCGTTTTGTTCCTTTCATCACTTATTTACATTGATCAGGTCAGAATATGTTCGGATTAGTAATCTGAAGGGAAAAATCTGCGGTCAGGAACCTTCAAACAGGCTTAACGTTCTCTTAGTGAAGACCGAGAGGGCACGCTTTTGGGAAGAATGTATTTTTGATGAATTATTGTTTCTAAACCTTTGAAATCGTAGTTCTCAGATCTGTTACAAGCTCAGTTTTCACTTGACGTACAAAATAATTTCTACAGTCTGCAAAAGGGTTGCTAACGAGTGTGTTAGCACTGAAGTGTCAGACAAGACAGCGAAACTTAAAGGTTAAGCTAGAGCTGTAACATTGATCTTGGTGATTGTTGAGTAGAAACTTGACACCGAACTGCATCCCCTACTGACCAGGTACCCCGCGGATTAGTACAGCAGGTAGGTGTCCTGTAGGAGGATCTTTTGTCGCGTCAATGTTTGTTTCTCGCATTGCATCACGGGAGTGTGGCCAAAAACGAAGTATTTTTCCTATAATTAGTTGTTTTTTTCGCACATTTGGAGGAGGATTTAGCAAAGCAGATGATCAGACTTACTGTGTGGTTGGTTGTTCGGTCCGTGGGAGGCTTGATAAAAAGTTTTACTGGAATTTCCTCCGTAAACCACCGCGAAATACAAAAGAGATGATAGGAAGTGACCCGGACTGCCCCGAGAAAGTCTGGACTCCTGCAGCAACGGACAGTTACTGAGGCTCGTTTAGTTCACGGTAAGTCCTCGTGACTACGTATTTGTTAGAGAAGATGCTTTAAAAACTTTCATCTTTGTGTATTTTTAAATCCACGGAGTCATGTTGTTTTCCTGTGTTGATTCTGGTGTCTCGGCCCGTGATCGTTATAATAACAAGTAAAGACATAAACAAGGACACAGATGAATGGCTTTGCAGTTGCAGTGAGGATTTCTCCGTTTTCTTTGGCCCTCACCCACGGCGGACGTAAACAACGCTGTGACTGATCTTCGGGGCTAACGGCTGCTATTAGCAAGACCTCTGTTTTCAGAAGAGATCGGCTCAACTTTCTTAAAGCAAAGTAATTGTAGGCCTCCAGACGTTTGAATGCCTTTCATTTTTAAGAGCACAGGACTTTCTGTTGAACAGAAATAAATGTCTCCCCAGCAGATTTGTGGCAAATGGGACCAACGTTTCCCATCATCCCAGAGCTCTTACGAGCTTTAAATAACTTTATTTTGTCTTCAATGCAGATTTTAAGCTTTTCTCCAAACCTCCTCTTGTCTTTAAATGGTCAAGTGTTTATATATCGGTGATTTCGCCCGTAAACTCTTAAAAGTTTGTCGCATATCGATTGCAGGCCAGTTTGTGTTTGCTTTTGCCACACAGCCACTCGCGCATGCACACACACATGAAAAAAGATGTCAACAAAGATCCTGCTATGGGAGAGCTTTTTACCTGCTTTAAGGCTGTTAGCGGCTATGCTAGCAGTTAGCGTTTCATTTTGGACATAAAAAGCACAAGTATAAGAAAAAGAAGTTTGCTTCTTCTGTTGGCATCATGGCGGAGCATGGAAGTAAAATTAAGAGAGCAATGTCTTTGGAGGTGAATTAAAGCGCTAAAACCAGAGTGAACATCAGGCGGCCTACACTAGCTTGAGGGAGCTAAAGGAAGCTACAAAATCATGGACTGATGGTGACCTGGCTTTGTTGCATCTGGACTTGTAAGGAATGATTGGTTAGCAGTGTGGGTCTTTGAGCTTTGTGGCTTATTTCGTATCTGTTGGTTCATGTAAGTGTTAGCTTGTTGCTAGTGCTAGCTACAGCAGCTGCTGCAGGGTTGTTTATGACAGTTGTAATTCCACTTTCAGCCTTTAGGGGAAGAGGCCAAAAACTGGAGTGTTTAAGTTGATTTTATCATCTCAGTGTGGATGAACACACAACGGGGATTTGTGCACCTGTGTGCAATGAGGTCGGAGTCATGGCTGAGGAAATGGTGCATCATGTAGTGAACAAGTGAACATTTAAAATCTGACTGAGACCGGTGTGTCAGAAAGCGCTCTCGCTCGGTGTTGCTCTCTCTTTCCTCTCTGCTGCTTTAGTTTGGTGAATCGAGTCCGATAAACGCTCAAATACACAGATGAGTCCGACGGTTAGTCTCTGTGGAACTTTTAGTCGTTTCCAAGAACTCCGCATTTCTCTGAGTCCGTTAGAAGTGTTCATCAGTTCATCAACAAACCGATGGTTTTAAATCCTTTCTGTATGTAGAAACTAGCCGTGATGAGATCTGGAACCAAACCGGATTTAAAACCTTAAATGGTCATTACTCTGAATCGATTTAATGATTTAGGCAGAATTTCTGACTTTTATTTTTATCTAATTTATATCTATTAGTGTTTTATATTCTTACCTGATAGCAGTGTTGTTAAAATGAGTTTTTTGGACTTTTTGTATGAAAACTGGTTTTTCAGTACAGCAAACAGTAGTTTTTTAACTGACAGATATTTCTTTACTAATATATTTATTAACTTTGAATCATTAAAATATTTTGCTTTCAGAATACCAAGCATTGGCCCATGGGGGGCAGAAAGGTGCATGGATCGTGTCACAGCCCTCTAAGCTGAAAGATGTGAACAAAATTCCCTCTTGAGCTGAATGAGTTTGTCGTATTTTACAGAGAAATGCTAAATGCAGCGCGTTTGGTTTTGTTCAAGCTGTCCGATCTCGATCTTTAACACAAGAAGAAAGAATGAAACCCCTAATCTCCCAGATAAGTGCTTGTGCATGAGCAGCACCGCGTGACCCACGGACTAGAATTACAGTAAATACGTGGAAACCAGGGCGTGACTACCTGCAGACATGAGGCAGGCGGGCAGGAGGAAGCAGGAAGGAGGGTAACACAACACCGGCAGGCTGAACCTGTTGTAACAACAAATAGCAGCTTCAGGGCGGCATCTGCTGCAGAATTTAGTTTTTTAGTTGTGAACCAGCGTGTTTCCCTTTTACACATACGGGTGTGAGGTTGTGCATCAAACTCTGCCATCTTTTCTGTCACGTTGCTTCAAAGTCAGTGAACCAAAAGAGGTGATTTCTTAAACACTACACTGACCTTTCTGCAGTTTGGAGCTTCGTTGTGTGATCATGGATGTGGTTTCAGCTTATTCTTGAACCCAGATGGTTGAAATGTTTCTCTATAGTTGGACAGTA